CATGTTTCTTTTTCTTCATTCTCGCCCTACCCTGCGTATTGTCCCCACCCCTCCTCAGCTCTTTTTGCAGAGGCTCCTCCTTGGAGAGCCTCCGGGGGCCTCACGGAAGCTTTTCAGGCTTTGCTCAGGCCTTCTGGAAGCCTCCTGGGCGTCCTCTGGGGCCCTCTGGACGCTTTTTCGCGCCATCCCGCCTGCAACCGCGATCTCCCTGAACGACTGGGTCACGATTTGGAATGCTTCGGGGACTGCCTGGAAGCCCTTTTGGATGGTTGTGGGGCGATTTTCGGGCCTCCCAGGCGGGTTCGGACGCCCAGAAAACCGCCGTCTTAGTCTTGGAGCGTCGGGAAGCCGAAAAGAGGAGAACCCCAACATTCACCAAGCACAAACAGAACATCCATGAATTTCGCCTCTTGGGGCCTTCTCGGGAAAGCTCTTTTATTAGGCCTCTTGGGACGCTTTGGGGCGATCTTTGGGGGCATGACGGCTTCTTTGGGGTCGTCGTGAACCGTCTGGGGTCGCTTCGGGAGCGCGCCGAACGCCTGGAGCCCTCTGGGGCCGTCTTCGGGCTCTCGTGGGGTTTTCCCGGGTCTGGAGGGCTTCCCGAAGGGCCCGGGGTAGGCCAAATTCGTTAGGTGTGGTGGGGGAACGCTTTTTTTTCCGGGCTCCCTGGTCATATTAAAATATATGATTCGGAATATAAGGTGCGTATGTATGTGCAAATGTATACATATATACATGCACATGTAGATGTTTGTATAAATGTACGTCTACGTATATGTGTATGTATGTGTGTGCATGTATACGGATGTGTAGGTGTGTATGGAAACGTGTATGTATATGCATGTGTGTATGTGTGTATGTGTATGCATGTTCAGATGTATGTATATAACACTGTAAGTATGTATGGATGTACGTGTATGTACGTAAGTACGTACGTACGTACGTATGCATGTATGTAGTAGTGTATGTATGTATTTATGTATGTATGCTGTCATGCATACTTGTGTGGATGAACGTGTGTCTGTATGTCTGTACGTAATTATGCATGTATGGATTCATGGATGGATGGATGGGTGAATGTAGTTCTATGCATGCAGGCATTCATGCATGCTTGCAGACATACGTAAACACGTGCATACATGCATACCTGTACACATGCATACATGCATGCGTGCCTGCATGCATACATGCACATGCCTGCCTACCGTCCTACCCACCTGCCTACCTACCGACCTACATCCGTATACATATATGTCTATCTGTGTGTGTGTCAACTTCCAAATCCCGTGTCTCACCACACCAACCCGCGAAAGATGCGCAGGCACCTGCGCCGACGCCCCCGCTGCCACCGACCTGGCCGGCGGCTGCGGCGGGAAACGTGGGCTCTGGACAGGCGCTGCCTGGAGCACGGGGGAGGGGCGGGAACGCGTGGATCAGGCCTTGACGGGAAGAGGAGGGGGGGCAGCAGAGGGGGGGAGGGGGCCAAGGGAAGAGGAGGGGAAGGAGGTGGGGGAGGGGGAGAGGAAGGGGGAGAGGAGGGGGAGGAGGATGGGGAGGCTTTGACGGGAAGAGGAGGGGGAGGATGGGGCCAAGGGAAGAGATGGAGGAGGCCCGCGGGGAAGGGGGGCAGCAGGGGGAAGGAGACGGAGTGAGCCGGGGGCACGGGGGGCCCAGAGAGCCCATGCCGTGCGGGCTCCCCGGAAATCCCCACCCCTTCCCCTGGGCCGGCTTTTCAATCGGCGTTTGAACGGTCCCGGGACCCGACCAGGGCCCCCAGACGCCGGAAGCAGCGAAAAACCTCCGCCTTGATTTTTCAATGCGCTGAACCTCTGGAGAGCACGCTCGACCAGGACAGTAAGGATGCGCGGTAAGGATGCAAGGGCCTCGGAACGCCATGTTGACGTTCTCCGTGCGGGGCGCAGCAGAATGCCGAAGGATGCCGAACACCGAAGGGGCAAGGATGCAGGGGCAGTCCTGGAAAGAGTTGCCCCATCCATGCCATCATGGCTGGCTGTCGAGGGAGGAGGGCGAAGGAACAGGGGGAGCGGGCCAGAGGAGCAGCGGAAGGGGGGCCTCAGCTGGCCAGCTGGAACGAGCCAGGAGGCCTCCGCCACTCCCGCCCGCCCTCTCCGGCACGGTCGGACCTCGGGCAGGAGAGCATGCCTCAAGAGCGTGAGGCCCTCCGCTGGCCGACACGCCCCAAGCATCAGATCGCTCGAGGGCGCCCCCCCCTTCCCCCCTAGGATGCACAAGGGCATCCACCGAGCATGGAGAACATCGGGGCACCCTCCCCGAAGCGACCTCGATCTGGTGCCCCGGTCCGATCGCACCATGATCGCCACTGCTGGCCGCTGCTGGCACACGGGGACACACGGTGGAGGCCAGTCCACAAGAAACCTTCCACAAGAGACAAAGCCCTGAGACCCCAGGACGTCCATTGATTTTGGGTCCAGCGCTGCAGCGGGAGCACGATTCGGAACGAGCGTGGCCCGAAAATGAGGCCGGCGCCTCAGCGAGAGCAGCATTTTGAAAAAAATGCAGGCGAAAACCCAACTCCGGGGAAACCTGTAGAAAAAAACAGTAAGAGGGGGGGGTCGAGCACTTTCAAACCGTCATCAGGGGAAGAGGGAGAGTAGTATTCATATGGAGTAATTGTGGAGGGGAGGAGGGAGAGGGAGAGGGAGGCAGGGAGGAAGGGCGCTGGAGGAGGGAGGGAGGTATGGAGGGAAGGGGGGGAGGAGGTGAGGGGAGGGGAGGGAAGGGGAGGGAGGAGGAAGGGCGCTGGAGGGGGAGGGAGGGAAGAAGGAGGGAGGGGGGAGGAAGGAATGGGAAGGAGGGGAGGGGTGGGGGAGGGAAGGGAGGGGAGGGGAGGCAGGGAGGAAGGGCGCGGAGGAGGAAGGGGAGGGAGAGGAGGGAGTGAGGAAGGGCGCTGGAGGAGGGAAGGCGAGCCTCGCCTCTGAGGTCGCGTGGCCCCACGCTGGCCCCGCGCGCGGCGTCCCGACGAGGGGCGGCGAGGCGAGAGCGGCCGCCTGGGTGGGCACAGGCCAGCTCCTCCTGCCCACTCGTCCTACTCGTCCTCCTCCTCCTCCTCCTCCTCCTCCTCCTCCTCCTCCTCCTCCTCCTTCCTACAAAGGCTCCCCACCCTGCTCCTCCTCCTCCTCCTCTCCTCCTCCTTTCCTCCTCCCTCCTCCTCCTCCTCCTCCTCACTGTCCTCGTTCCACACCTCTTCATTTCCCCATTCCTCCTCATCCTCCTCCCTTCCTCCCCTCCACCTCCTACTCCTCCTCCTCCACGCTCCTCCGCCTACTTCCGCTCTCCCCTTTCTCCTCCTTGCTCCTCCTCCTCCCCTCCTCCTCCTCCTCCTCCTCCACTTCCTCCCCCTCCTCCTCTCCTCCTCCTCCTCCTCCCCTCCTCCTCCTCTCCTCCTCACTCCTCATCATCATAATCATCATCATCATCATCAGCATCAGCATTCATCATCATCATCATCATCATCATCAGAGATCGCCTCAGAACCAAGCATCATCATCATCATCAGCATCAACATCATCATCATCATCATCTCATCATCTCATCATCATCATCAACAACAACAACATCATCATCATCATCATCATCACCATCATCATCATCATCATCATCATCATAATCATCATCATCATCATCATCATCATCATCATCATCATCATCATCATCATCATCATCATCATCATCATCATCATCATCATCATCCTCATCTTCGTCCTCCTCCTCCTCCTGCTCCTCCTCCTTCCGCTCTCCCCTTTTTCCTCCTGGCTCCTCCTCCTCCTCCTCCTCATCCTGGCTCCTCCTCCTCCTCCTCCTCCTCCTCATCCTCCTCCTACTCCTCTTCTGCCCCATGCTCCTCCTCCTCCTCTGCCTCCGCCTCTGCCTGCTGCTGCTGCTGCTGCTCCTCCTCCTCCTCCTCGTCCTCCTCCTCTGCCTACTCCTCATCCTCCTCCTCCTCTGCCTACTCCTCCTCCTCCGCCTCATCCACCTCCCTCTCGGCCTCCTCATCCTCCTCCTCCTCCTCCTTCCGCTCTCCCCACCCTCCCCCTGGCTCCTCGTCCTCCTCCTCGTATCATAATGAGTCACGTACTCGACGGTGCCATGCTATGCTGTGATCTACCATGCGTCGCGCACTCTCTGGAGCATTGCCCCGTACGACATCCGAATGTGCGAATCGAGAAGAGATCTACACAATGGTAAAGGATGGGAGGTATGGGTAGGACGTCAGATATGACGCTAGCGCACCTGGCTTGTCCTCATCAGCCTCTACCTCACCCCCCGACTCGTAATCATCATTCGGTCCTTTTACGCACATCCCACTTCTCCTCCACTTCCTCCTCATCCTCCTCCTCCTCCTCCTCCTCGTCCTCGCAGCCCCGTCCCCCTCCTAATCCTATCCCTGTCCTCCTCCTCCTCCTCCTCCTCCTCCTCCTCCTGCTCCTCCTCCTCCTCCTCTTCCTCCTCCTCCTACTCCTCCTTCACCACCCGACCCCTTGCAGTCGCTATTGCAGCTCAATCTTCTCGTCGTCCCCGCCCTTCCCACGTTTCGAGCTTCTTGTCCCCCTCTCTCATCCTCCCCGGTTGCCTTCGCCGTGTTGTTTGATCTGCCTCCTATTCCTCCTCCTTCTCCTTCTCCTCCTCCTCCTCCTCCTCCTCCTCCTCATCCTCATCCTACTCCTCCTCCTCCTCCTCTGCCCCCGCCTCTGCCTGCTGCTGCTGCTGCTGCTGCTGCTGCTGCTGCTGCTGCTCCTCCTCCTCCTCCTCCTCCTCCTCCTCCTCCTCCTCCTCTGCCTACAACTCCTCCCCCGACTTTTCCGCCTCCTCCTCCTCCTCCTCCTCCTCCTCCTCCTCCTCATCCTCTTCCTCCTCCTCCTTCCGCTCTCTCCACCCTCCTCCTGACTTCTCTTCCTCCTCCCCCTCCTCTTATCGTAATGAGTCGCGTACTGGACGCGATGCCATGCTATGCCGTGATCTACCATGCGTCGCGCACTCTCTGGAGCATTGCCCCGTTCGACATCCGAATGTGCGAATCGAAAAGAGATCTACACAATGGTAAAGGATGGGAGGTAGGGGTAGGACGTCAGATATGAAGCTAGCGCACCTAGCTTGTCCTCATCAGCCTCTCCCTCCCCCCCTGGACTCATAAACATCCTTCGGTCCTTTTACGCACATCACATTTCTCCTCCTCCTCCTCCTCGCAGCCCCGTCCCCCTCCTAATCCTATCATTGTCCTCCTCCTCCTCCTCCTCCTCCTCCTCCTCCTCTCTTCCTCCTCCTCCTCCTCCTCCTCCTCCTCCTCCTCCTCCTCCGCCTCCGCCTCCTCCTGCTTCACCACTGGACTCCTTGCAATCGTTATTGCAGCTCGATCTTCTCGTCTTACCCGCTCTTCCCACGTTTCGAGCTTCTTGCTCCCCTCTCTCATCCTCCCCGGTTGCCTTCGCCGTTTTGTTTGGTCTGCCTCCTTTTCCTCCTCGTTCGCCTCCTCCTCCTTCTTCTCCTACTCCTCTGCCTACTCCTCATCCTCCTCCTCCTCCTCATCATCATACTCCTCCTCCTCCTCCTCCTCCTCCTCCTCACCCTCCTCCTCCCCTCCCTATCCTCCTAGTCCTCGTTCGCCTCCTCCTCCTCGTCCCCGTCCTCCTCCTCCTCCTCCTCCTCCTCCTCCTCATCATCATCAGCATCATCATCCCTCCTCCACCTTCCTGCTCCCTCCTCCACCTCATGCGCCTCCCCGCTCCATAGACACGTTCACTGGGAACCCAGCAAACCACATACCAAAAACAACTCGAGCGAATCCCTCTCTTGCGCGCGCGACTCTGCCATACGGGTGGCAAGCTGCACGCATCGGGCAACACTAACCCGAAGTCGTCGATGATACGTCTCTTCACATAGTGCGGAACGCGGACACTGCCAACCAGATCTTGCTTGATATGGTGCCCCCTATCTTGGGAAGCTCGGGAGCTATGGGGTCCAGGCGCCACTGGCTTCGGCAGCATGCCTTCATAATCTGGCTCATTCTCGTCAGTCATCCCCTTTCTCCTACGTTGCTGACATCCCCTCGCCCTCGCCCCCGTCTCCTCGCCATCCTTGCCACCCGTGGCTACCATGCTCCAAATCCCTTCGTCTCCTCCTCCGCCTCTTCCCCCTCCTCCGTGTCGGCCCTGCTCCCGCCCCTCGCTCCATCTCCTCAGCTTCCTCTCCTCCAGCTTCACCTCCTCGTGCTCCTCGCCATCCTCCTCGTCGTCCTTGCCGTCGTTGTCCTCGTCGTCGTCCACCTCCTCCTCCTCCTCCTCCTTCTCCTCCTCCTCCTCCTCGCCCTCCTCGTCCTCCTCCTCCTCCTCCGCCTCCTCCTCCTCCCCATCGTCCAACTCGCTCCCATCCTCCTCCGCCGCCTCATCTTCCTCCCCCTCCCATCTGGCCATGGGTACCATTGATTTTTGTTGGTTACAGTACAGCTTTAATTGGTTTCGGAATTATTTCTGTAGCGCGCACTGTATGCAATTACATCAATAATTGTGTCGGGAATTAATAATGTAGGCTCGAAATATTGCCAAGAGCATTTTGGCTATGCATTTCTATTGAGTTGGGAAGTTAGAAAGGAATTCGATAAGGAATTTCCTGAGCTAGAAAGGAATTTGAATACCAGAGATAGTTCTGAACCTCAAAGACAATCGAGTCCGAATTGCCCGAGGAAGCCAGGGCCAGGAAGGGAAAAAGGAGTTAGAGAGGAATTTAATAAGGAAATTCAAGAGTTAGAAAGGAAGTTTGTTTTTTTTGGTTTTTTTTTGTTTTACGACGCCGAGAGGTCTGAGCCAGGAAGGAAAAAACGAGTTAGAAAGGAATTTGATAAGGAAATTCAAGAGTTAGCAAGCAAGGAATTTCGTTTTGGGGGTTGTTTTTGTTTTGTGTTGCTTTTTTAAGACGCCGAGAGGTCTGGGCCAGGCAGGAAAAATGAGTTAGAAAGGGATTTAATCAGGAATCTCAAGAGTTAGAAAGGAATTTCGTTTTTTGGGGTTGTTTTTCGTTTCGTTTTTTTTTCGACGCCGAGAGGTTTGGGCCAGGACGGAAAAAGGAGTTAGAAAGGAATTTAATTAGGAATTGCAAGGGTTAGAAAGGAATTTTGTTTTTTTTTTCTGTGTTGTTTTTTTGTTTTGTTTTTTATTTACGACGCCGAGAGGTCTGGGCCAGGAAGGAAAAAGGAGTTAGAAAGGAATTCAATAAGGAATTTCAAGAGTTAGAAAGGATTTTGTTTTTTTTGGGTTGTTTTTTCTGTTTTTTTTTACGACGCCGAGAGGTCTGGGCCAGGAAGGAAAAAGGAGTTGGAAAGGAATTTAATACGGAATTTCAAGGGTTAGAAAGGAATTTCGTTTTTTTTGGTATGCTTTCTGTTTTGTTTTTTTACGACGCCGAGAGGTCTGGGCCAGGAAGGAAAAGGGAATTAGAACGGAATTTAATAAGGAATTTCAAGAGTTAGAACGGAATTTTGTTTTTTTGTTTTTTTTTCGGGGGTCTGTTTTTTTTTACGACGCCGAGAGGTCTGGGCCGGGAAGGAGAAAGGGAGTTAGAAAGGAATTTAATAAGGAATTTCAAGCGTTAGGAATTTCGTGTTTCGGTTTTTTTTTGTTTTTTTAACGACGCCGAGAGGTCTGGGCCAGGAAGGAAAAAGGAGTCAGAAGGGAATTTAATAAGGAATTTCAAGAGTTAGAAAAGCATTTTGTTTTTTGTGGTTGTTTTTTGTTTTGTTTTTCTTCGACGCCGAGAGGTCTGGGCCAGGAAGGAAAAAAAGGAGTTAGAAAGGAATTTAATAAGGAATTTCAAGAGTTAGAAAGGAAATTCGTTTTTTGAGGTTGTTTTTTGTTTTGTTTTGTTACGGCGCCGGGGGGGTTGGGCCAGGAAGGAAAAAAAGGAGTTGGAAAGGAATTAAATAACGCATTTCAAGAGTTAGAAAGGAATTTCGTTTTTGGCGTTTTTTTTTTTTTTGTTTTTTTACGACGCCGAGAGG